CCACACTGCATGAATCCCCTTTAGGAGAAATGCATTAAAGCATGAGAGCAGCAGATTTTAGTTTACTGATATGCGTTGTGCAATATTGACCATGTAATGACGCATCATGAGGAAACTACTCTGGGAAAGCACTGCTGGGGTTTCTTTGGGTTGTTTTTGTTTTTTGGTTTGAAATTATTTCCAGAATGAAAAGCCTTCAACAGTCTGTCTGTAGCTGTTTACTAATGAAATGGCTTTAATTTATTTTTTACTTTTTTTGCCACTTAGCTGTGAATGCTGTCATTTGATTGTATAGACATGTAATAACCATCAGAAGATGGCAGTGAATAGCTCTGCTTGTTATTTAACTCAGCTAGCCTTAACTACAGTTTTTTGGACATCATAATTACTATCTAAAGAACCTCTGCAGTTGCATAACTTCTATTATAGGTGACATCAAACGTATAATTAGCTGTGGAGCTTTTGGCATACAGATGAAAGCAAAGATGTAACAATAATATATAAAAAAGACTGGGCGGAAACTGAATTTTGGTCATTAAAAAAACCCACATTGACAGGCAACGCTTCTGAATATGGATATGAAATATCTGTGGTCTTAATGCATTTAGAAATACAACACAGAATTAGATGTATACTATTGTACTAGTATTCTTTCAGCCAGTCACATGTGACTTATATAACAGCACACAATTATGAGTCAAATCATTTTAAAAGGCTCTTTTTGGTCACATATTTTAACTAAAATGGAACAGGCCTCCAGCAGTCAAAAAACCTTTAAAAATTATGTCACAGAAAGAGTCACAGGCATGTCACGCTTTTACTTTATTCAGTTACCCAAAACACAGATCAATGACTCATTTGGTGTATATAAATAAAAATCACCAATGTAACAAATGAATCCGGTGCACAGGAATGGTGTGCAAAACTCTTGTCATTTTTTCTTTTTTAATACAAAAAGACTTGTTTGCAAAACTGTACAAATATCTTTTCATTTGGGTGTATGAAAGAAGTAATAAGAGAGCTGAGAGCTACAGATAAAAGCTTTTTAAAGGTGAAGCATGTAATTTTGTCAGTCTCTATAAAATGTATTCAAATTGACTTGCCCTCAGGCCATCCAAGATGTAGATGACTTTGTTTCTTCATTGCAACAGATTTGGAGAAATTTAGCATTACATCACTTGCTCGCCAATGGATCCTCTGCAGTGAATGGGTGCCGTCAGACTGAGAGTCCAAATAGCTCATAAAAACATCACAATAATCCACAAGTAATCTACGACTCCAGTTCATCAGTTAACATCTTGTGAAGTGAAAAGCTTTGTGTTTGTAAGAAACAGTTCCATCATTGAGGGGATTTAACTTTAAACTGTTGCTTCTGGCCAAAACATGAGTCCATAATCCATAAGAACGCTTTCTGCAGTGAAAAAGTTCATCTCCTGTTGTCCTCTCACATCAAAATTTACTAAAATATGTATTTATAAATGTTTTGTAAGGTTTTATCTTGTAAATGGTGCTTGATCTGTGCAGATTTCTCTCCTGAGTCAAACTTTTTCACTGGAGAAAGCCATTCTATGAATAGAGGACTCATAACTTAGCTGGAATTAACAGCTTCAAGCATTTCATTACACCAAATACACAAAATAATGTTCTTTTTAGCAACATCATATGACCCCTTTAAAATGCCTTAAACATTAATTTGTTTCTTACATTCATGCAGATGTCCGATTCACAAGACATTAATGATGGACTGGAGTGGTGTGGATTATTGTGATGTTTTTATCAGTTGTTTGTGCTCTCATTCTGACGGCACCCATTCACTGCAGAGGCCCCCATTCACTGTCTTGATTCAGATGTGTGTGATCAAATGGGTGCCAATACATCATTGCTGAGCAATGATCAATTGCTCAGCAATGATTGATCACAAAAACAAATTTGATCACACACATCTGAATCAAGACAGTGAATGGGTGCCATTACATCATTGCGGAGCAAGTGATGTAATGCTAAATTTCTTGAAATTCTGTTCTGATGAAGAGATAAACATCTTACATCTACATCTTAGATCGCCTGAGGGTCAGCACATTTTCAGAAATAATTTTTTTTGGGTGAACTATTCCTTTAATACACTTTCTTGCTCATTATTATGAATGATTCATCAGTGCATGTTCCTCCAACAGAAAATGGCGTGTGTCTTAATTGTTCATCAAAATGTAAAATCCCGCTTCACTACTGAAACAACTTTTCTTTTTGTCTTTTATCACCCAGGCAGTGCAGGCTTTTGATTAATGTTAACTAGTCATCAAATAACTTTAAAATACCACTGTACCAGGCATCATATGCTGCTTGCAGGAATGATTTCATTGCAAGAACCTTTCATAACATCATCATTGTAAAAGGACAGCCAAAGGTTTTTACAAACTTGCTAACCAGGGTTGTGCAAAATTCAGAATTGGTTTGCTTTCAATTTACAAATGTGATTTAGAATTGAATTGGCCACAGCCCACAGGAAATCAAATCAATCTATCTATCTATCTCCATTTAGTTTAGTACAAAATATGAACTTAATATAATTCTGAACATGAACATGACATCTAACATTGCCTATATGTAAATTCATAACCAGGAATACTCCTTGAAGGTATTCCTGGAATATTATATGAAAAGAGCTTTTTATTTACAAAAGTGCCTATAAAATAAATAAATAAACTAGAGTTACAAAAGTTCTGTTAAGCAAAAAAGACTTTACGCAACATTCAAAGTTTGTCTTGATAAAACTTTCATTTCTAGTTAAAGCTTACTGTACAGAAATACTTCAAATTTCAATTCATTTTAATTCTACTTCCTTGCATTCAAAACTTTAATACTAAATCTGTTTGCTACCTCAAGTTCAAATTCATGAACTGGAAATCAAAAGGATTCTTCAATTCAATTCTGAATGCAGCACGACCCTGCTAGAAACACATGGTGATATGAATGTGAAAGGGTTGCTCACTATACAGGAAAGAAACTAGCTGACCTCCAGTTACCACTTTTGAAAACTTTCACAGAAATACCAACAACAATACAGATGGTGTCTTTACTGTTCTGTTGACGTCATGGGGAGCTTTTCTCTCCTGAGAAATTAAGAATCCAATCCATACTTTGATGAAAAACTGCAAGAATGTCTCATGTCTGAAAGCCTTGTGTCTAGGGAGACAATAATGAAAATGCCTTCATGTCAGACTGTGCATTACATCTAGCTGGTGGAAAAATCCTTGTGAGCACGAACCAGGCATTAAATATTAAAAAGAATGCTGTGGTTGATTTTTGTGTGTCTGTCATTCTGTCTATCAATTCCTTACGATGCATCCAAACATCATTACAAGAGCTAGTATCAAGAACATCTCCAAGTTTAGAGTTTTTTTCCCCTTGATGTGCACTTACAGGATGTCCAGATAGCTGAAGCTGATGAGATTGTCCCAAGTGCATAGTGAATATGACTCAAAAACAAATCAATAGATAGTTGATGTATGTCATCTTTCAAAACCATTCATTGTGATGACTATAAATGTAACTTAAAAACTCCATCAGTGCTAGGGTGAACATACATCCTCTTTTTCCTGGCTGGGATTTCTAAATTGCCTAAAATGTCCAGGTTTTGGCTTTGTTTTCCTATTGGTATATTGTCATACATTCTATGTATTTGCATTGCTTTGATGTTCTCTGTAGATCCCGCCTTCTTGCACGCAACGATTGGCTGATTTTATACAACGCCTGCATGCTATTGGTCAAAGTGCTTTTCAGTCATTACCTTCAGCAAGTATGAAAACAATAGGAAAACAAAGCCAAAACCCAGACATTTTACGCAATTTATAAACACGTCTGGGAAAAAGAGGACGTATGGTCACCCTAATGAACAAAAAGGAACAAAACAGACATGCCTTTAACCAAAATGCCAAAAACAACAAAACAAAACAGTGCATGTATTTACATATGAACTGACACTGCAGTAAAAGTTGCAGCCAGAGTTCTGAATTTCAGCCAAAAGCTGATCAAGACTTCTTCATCGGTTCCCCAGGAAGTAGGTCGGGTTGGTTTTGAGAGGTCTGAACAGGTGTGAATCCTCCATCCACAGTCCAAACAAACTCTCTGGCAAAAGAGAGACGCCTACCTGTGATTTCTGGCTTTCGTGCAGGCGTGCGGGATCTCCGAGCAGGCTCTCTAAAAGTGTGTCTCGTGGTTTGTTTGAGCGGTTTGTGGAGGCCCTATTGGCAGCATGGAAGAATATGGAGGATGAGGGGTTGGAGGTGAGGAAATCTAGACCTGCGTCGAGTAGGAGCGGTGCAGAGCGGTGGAGCGTCCCGTGGAATGGGCGGCGCAGTGGTGCGTGTGCTGGGACGGCTGGTCTAGACTTCGCTGGTAATGGAGCGAGACGGTATGAGGACATCGGGGGGGACGGGGAACCGATGAGGCTGATGGTCATGTGATCTCAGTGAATGGAGATCCCCTTGGAGTCTGTAAGGGGGGAGAGAGAGAGTGTGAGGGAAGAGAGAGAGAGAGAAAGGATGAGAAATCAAGACTGGAAGGTGGAAACTGTGTTCGGATAGAATAAAATTAGTGATGCACCAAAATTAATTTAACTACACACCAAAAACTGAAATTAAAACGGATTCAACAAGTTAATACAAACATTCAAATAGTTCAACTTAAATCAACTTTTTAATAATACTGTTATTTTTCTACTATGATCTACTACAATTTTGATGAAATATAATCATTTATACGATGGCTGTAATAACAACTGGTTTTCATGACAGATTTATTTAAACATACATTAATGAAGATATCATGAAAAAGCTGCGAGAATACAGTGAATGTAATATAGTGCATATATTTATTAAAATTTTCCTCTCTAGAGTTATTTTTCTAGCTAACTGTCGAGTTTATTGTAATTGAATGGCTTTTCTGAGGTAAATGTGCCACGATGAACGTGATGCCTATAGGTGATCTTTAACATCTTACAATTCTGAGAAAAAAGTCAGAATTTCGATAAAAATTCACAACTGTGAGACAAAAAGTCACAATAAATTTAAAACAATTTTCACAAAATAGATGTTGACAATCAAAATGTGACATAGGACATTAAACATCACTGTTACGGTCAATGATTTCGGCCCTCTATTTGGTTGCCAAAATTTCGGTGCATCACTAAATAAAATAAGACTGAGGGAGAAAAGGGATGACTGTATGGTCGAGGTGACAAAGTGTGGAAAAGGCGGCAAAGTAGTTTCAAACGTGAGGAGGATGAGGGTGGCCTACGAAGGGAAACTCATACTGCGGTAATTTTTCCCAGAATGAACCATCTAATGGCCTTTCGTCTTTGAAGTTCCACATGCTACACAGTCCATTTTCTTTGTCGTGAAGGTACATCTGCTTTAGAGATGTTAAATTCCCATCAACCCACTGATGGATCAATGAGTTAATGGCCCTAAACATTCTGCTGCTTCTCATTTACTCTATTATAAAAGTAATGTAACGTCTCGTGGATAAGAAAGGAGCAGAACAATCCTCCAGAGCGTCAGTGGGTTTTGCAGGGTGCTGTGGTTGGTGTTTGGGTTGTGCAGGTTGGACATGCTAGTAAAGGGAGAAGGGGGGCCGGGTGGGTCTTGGGAGTCACATTAGGGTCCACTGGGTCAAACACAGAAGGACGGGGTGGGGCGTAATCCATCCCCTTTATGTGTGCAGCCCTGTCACTAACCCACTCCCACCCCTTACCTGAGTGCCACTTAACTTTTCAAGTGGACTCTCTACGCAGGGCAGCGCCACCATGGGCATGCCCAGCACAGACTCAGGGCGCTGGGGTCGCACCGGTGGGGGTGGGGGCTTTGTCTGCTGGAAGTTGTTGATAACACATGTCACCTAGAGAGAGAGAAGAGAGAGCGAAGAAAGAGAGGGAATAAAGAAAACCAGCAGTGGAGCATGTGATTGAGAAATTGGATTTTTAAAAAGCTTTTGAAAGAAGGTGTCTTATGTTCACAAAGGCTGCATTTATTTGATCAAAAATAAAGTAAAACCAGTAATATTGTGAAATATTATTACAATTCTAAATAGCTGTTTTCTACTTGAATATACATATCTTAAAGTGTAATTTATTCCTGTGATGCAAAGCTGAATTTTCAGCATCATTACTCCAGTCTTCAGTGTCACATGATCCTTCAGAAATGTGATTTCTTAAAGGGGTCATTGGATGCAAAATTCACTTTTACATGTTGTTTGAACTGAAATGTGTGTTGGCAGTGTACACATCCACCCCAAAATGATAAAAATCCACCCATTGTTTTTTTTTTTTAAATTCAGATAAATAATATCCCCTTTTTCAAATCAAGCCATTCTCAGATTCTTGGCAGAGTGACATCACACAGACCAAGGCCACTCCCACGATTGTTGATTGACACTAGCGTTTTACCTTAGACCTACCCTGAGCAAGCTGTCATCAGTCCTCCAATGTTTCGACGCCGAAGCGGTTGTAGACAAGAATGTCTCCTAAGCAGTGCCGATCCTGGACTTCTGGGGGCCCTACGCAAAACTATGTTGGCGGGGGGTGGGGGTGGGGTTACGAGTTAAGAATAAATGAAACGCCTTTGTCCGTGTTCACTCAGTCTCAAATCGCACTCACAGAAAGAGCTTGAGAAACAGTGTCTCTTCCGCGGCTCGGTACGCTTTCAACCTGTTTTTTTCTCTCGAGTAAGATACTGTATGACATTCACGTTACATGATTTGACTGATTTTTACGTAGAAAGGGCGACAGCGCACCGCATTAAAAGAAATGACATAAGCGGTTTTCATAACTGCTGGCCAAATTCAAAAACAAAACTCAAATTAAATCATCTTTGAGAGCAAGGGGGCCCCCAGGTGTTTCGGGGGCCCTACGCTGCTTGCATACTTTGCGTATAGGGAGGATCGGCTCTGCTTCTAAGCGACTGAGGTGTTTTGTTGTTGGATGTAATAATGAACGTAGCAGTAGTCATTTACTCTCGACATCTGAGCCGCAGTGACGCAGTGGATTACGTTTGTTTCTGAAGGGAATGTGCCCCCGATCTACCTAAATGCGTCCATGTTCGCGCAAATCATTCGTGATCCAGCTTCACTTCCAGAAGAATTGAGTATACGCTTTTTTTTTAATGAATTTTGCAAATTACCTTTCCTAATAATGTGCTAGTTAGCAAGTTTCACGATGAATGAGGCTAAAGTTTACAGTCTCAGAGAGAACCGCTCGTCACCCCACGGAGGGAGAGGGGTGGGGATAGCAGAGCTCATTTGCATTTAAAGGGAAATGCACTGAAACAGTTTGCTCTGAAAAGAGCTGTTTTTGACAGGGTAAAAAAGGTGTTTTTTACACTACCATTGAGAAATTTTAACCAAAGTATGTTATAGACTTTTCATTAAGACCCTAAAGAATCACATCAACTTGTGAAAAATGGGCATCCCATGACCCCTTTAAAGTACAACATGTTCCTGGATCAACATCCTTGTTGATCCTGGAACAACATCCCAATAAACCCATCAGAATTGAGGGATAACTTTTCAGCAAATGTCAGTTTAGGCGTACAGACAGGGTTAGGTGCTTCTACACCCTTGTTAATCAGCTATCATTTCCCTCTGATTTTAGGAATAAATTATGGCTAAGGTTAGGTTTAGGGGTAGGGATTGGGTTAGTAATGGACAGTAATGCTGTCCAGGATCAACAAAACATGTTGATCCAGGAACATGTCTTGGCAAAATCACGGCGACCGAAATGAAATCATTCTCATATGCTGATTTGCTGTTCAATAAACATTTCTTATTATAATTAAATGTTGAAAACAGTCATGCTGCTTCATATTTTTGTGGAAACCTTTGATACATTTAGCTTCAGGATTCATTGATGAATAGAAAGCTCAAAAGAACATTTATTTAAAACAGAAATCTTTTGTAACATTATAAATGTCTTTACTGTCACTTTTACAGTCATGTGTCCTTGCTGAATAAGAGTATTAATTTCTTTAAAAAAAAAAACACTTACTGACCCCAAACTTTAAAACAATAGCGTATATGCATTTAGTTATACAGTATATGAATATTATATATTACCTGTATTTTCATGCAATTATCTTGTTATTTGAGTGTTGTTTTAATCACACCTTGCACGCTCTTACCAGAAAGACAGCGATGGCTCCGCCGGTGAAGTATCCAGCGAGGTGATCCAGGAACATGTCTTGGCAAAATCACGGCTACCGAAATGAAATAATTCTCATATGCTGATTTGCTGTTCAATAAACATTTCTTATTATAATTAAATGTTGAAAACAGTCATGCTGCTTCATATTTTTGTGGAAACCTTTGATACATTTAGCTTCAGGATTCATTGATGAATAGAAAGCTCAAAAGAACATTTATTTAAAACAGAAATCTTTTGTAACATTATAAATGTCTTTACTGTCACTTTTACAGTCATGTGTCCTTGCTGAATAAGAGTATTAATTTCTTTAAAAAAAAACACTTACTGACCCCAAACTTTAAAACAATAGCGTATATGCATTTAGTTATACAGTATATGAATATTATATATTACCTGTATTTTCATGCAATTATCTTGTTATTTGAGTGTTGTTTTAATCACACCTTGCATGCTCTTACCAGAAAGACAGCGATGGCTCCGCCGGTGAAGTATCCAGCGAGGACGTCGGCCCAGTGGTTGCGGTATTCAGCCACTCTGACAACACCCACCAGCATGGCCAGACACAGCAGAGTCAGACTCAGTGTGGGTTTGGTCAGACGCGTCCCTTTAGTCCTAAACACCAACGTCACGTACATCTGCAAGAACAGACAGATAGACAGTGGTGAAAAGCATGCCTCATACAAGTACAGCTAGGCATATTGCTATAATACAAAGCTTTAAAACTATTATTAAGTACTTTTTTATAAGTATTGTAAATAGTATTTTATGTTTTATAAGTATTAGATATTTTATTAACCATCTAGTATTATTTTTCCATTATTAGTTAGTAAGAATATATGTGACCCTGGAGCACAAAACCAGTCATAAGTAGCCCAGGTATATTTGTAGCAATAGCCAACAATACATTGTATGGGCCCAAATTATTGATTTTTCTTTTATGCCAAAAATCATTAGGGTATTAAGTAAAGATCATGTTTCAAGAAGATATTTTGTAAATGTGATTGGTTAGCTGGGCCAGTGTGTGTTGTGATTGGAAGCACTCGGCGCCTGGTCGGGAAATGTCATGCCCCTTACCATAGCCGCCTGCGAGCTTCAGAGTAAATATTGCATCAAAATCAAATCAATTTGAGCGCGATTTAAACCCGGATGATTGTAACCACTAAGTTTGTGGAAAGCTAGCGCGTCTCCGACATAGTGATAACACTCACTGCCTTCTCTAGTGCAGCTCAACCAGATCTCGTCCCATTCGTCGATATCATAAAATATGCGTTGTAGTTTTTGAAAAGTGATCTGTTAAATAAAATATCTCCTTTTGAAGTGGGTTTTGAGCTTTGTAACTTTGCAGATCTTTTTTATGCTCAAACAGCAACATTACAGACTAACTAAAATTGAAAAAGTGAAAAAGCATAATAGGACATCTTTAAAGGCGATTTTCTCAATATTTAGATTTTTTTGCACCCTCAGATTCCAGATTTTCAAATAGTTGTATCTCAGCCAAATATTGTCCTATCCTAAAAAGACATACATCAATGGAAAGCTTGTTTATTCAGCTTGTTGTAAAAATGGACCCTTATGACTAGTTTTGTGGTCCAGTGTCACAGTTATAGGAAAAAAATGTTTTAATGTTAAAATAAGTTTATGCTCTTTTGCTTACCCAAGGCTGCATTTATTTGATAAAAAATACAGTAAAACAGTAATATTGTAAGATATTGTTACAATTCAAAATAACTTATCTATTTGTATATATTTTGAAATCTAATTTATTCCTGTGATCAAAGCTGAATTTTCAGCATCATTACCTTCAGAAATCATTCCAATATGCTGATTTGCAGCTCAAGAAACATTATTAAGTCGAAAACAGTTGTACAGCTTTATATTTTTGTGGAAACCATGATACATTTCTTTACAATTTACTGACCCAGAGCGTTTGATTAACATATACATACCGATTTTTTATATATATATATATATATATATATATACACACACACCTTGGTTTGAAAAGCTCCACTTCAAGAAATTATTAGTCTCACAGAAAGTTACAAGACAAATAATTTAACAATCTAAAATGGAAAATGTACTTGTTTGACAAACTCACACTGCACCGACAGACGCCAACAAACAGCAACAGACATGCTCGTCAGGTTTTGTCTGCTCAATGTGTTATGTCTGTCTGTGTCTGTTGGCGTTGGTTGGTGCTTGAACGTGTTGTATCTGCGTCTTGGAACGTCTGAGAAATGACGTACTGCACTCAGGCTGCTGTCTGCTTTGGTCTGCGTCTGTTAGTGTGGTGTGAATTGGCCTTAAACCACCAAAACATCCTTGTTTAACCGGATTCACCAGAAAGAACATGCTGAACCTGTTTTACTATTTTTGCTGATGACATGGCCATACCAGAGCACCAGCTAGACCAGTACTAACCGGCATAAATCAGCTAGAAAAGCACTGACCTGTGACCTGCTCAAAGCTTTTGAAGGTATTGACTTTTTAAAAGAAAACTATATGATTGCAAGTTAGAATATTATTATTGTATTTAAGAATATCTATAAGCTTTACATGCTATTTTTGATCACAGTCACTAGCTAACAATCACTTTGTGTGTCCTGGAGTTTGAAAGATTGCTTAAAACTGCAGAGGTAAATAGCTGTACTATTTTGTTTGTTTGTCAGTACATACACAAGGAAGTTATTTCAGATTCAGTCACATCATTAAAATGGTTGTAGGCTCATTATCCTCACCACTGTATACACTGCAGAATAAACACTGAGGGCCGCATCTTTGGAAGGAAAGGATTTCCGTGCAGATGCTACTATGAGGGGGTTTCCCGTGCAGGCTTTGCGCTCGGTGATGTACTGTAGGTTGGAATGGCAGCCCAGTGCTGTGTAGTTCGGTCTGCACGCTGACAGGAAGTGAGGCGTCTGGTTTCCTGTCACTACCTGCCCAGCATTGGCAAAGATGGTGGTGGTGAACACGCCGAAGGTGTAGACACCTGAGTGACAGGACAGAGACCAAAGGTTTCCGAAACAAATGGAAAACATGTAAAAATTGAGGCTGCTAATATACTGGAGTTCATTTCTGTATGGAACAAAAAATAAAATAAATTATATTTATAATATTGGCCACCATATTCATTATTTCAGATATAAAAAAATAAAAAAAACATTATAAAATTATTAATTATATTCATTATTGGTCATAAAATTTGAATAGAAATAAAATAAATATTGATCATGAAATAAAAATAACTTTACAATAACAGTCATTATATTTGTATTGGTCATATACAATAAAAAAAAAAAATTGATCATCATATTCGTTATTGGTGATGAAATTAATTAATAAAATGACTTTACAATACTGGTCATTATATTTGTTATTGGTCATAAAATAAAAGAAACTTTATAATATTGGTCATTATATTCATTATTAGCCATAAAATAAAAATAACTATAATATTGGCCGTCATGAAAACAAATTCCTCGTATGTGTAAACATACCTGGCAATAAAAACTCATTCATTCATTCATTCATATTTGTTATTGGTCATAAAATAAAAAAATATTGGCAACATATTTGTTACAGATTATAAAATGTAAATAAATAAATAAATATAGAATTGGCCATCATATTTGCTTTTGCTCTTAAAATAAAATAAAAATAACTTTATAATATTGGCCATTATACAGTATTTGTTATTAGTCATAAAATATTGTATTTGGATTGTCAAATATCAACAGCAGTGTCCCACCATGTGACAACATACTTCATCTGAAATTATTGTAAAAAAAATTTCCATTCTTGAATATTTATTAATATATGCAGTTCGTATGAACTTGCATTAATTCTGAAACAACCTGAAATATTTGTACTTTTACGTAGCATTTGTCACATTGCAGGACTTTAAATGACCTGCAAAAATGTAAAAAAAATTGACTAAAAATAGTCAAACAAACAAAAAAACTTTCTAATCAGTTTCAGCATTTAAAACATACAGTCATGGCCAAAAATATTGAACTAAAACAATTGAAAATGGGGGAAAATCTCATTATGAAATAAATGTTTTTCTCAAATACACGTTGGACACAATTATTGGTACCCCTAGAAATTCTTATGAGTAAAATATCTGTGAAGTATATTCCCCATTCATATTCACAATTTTTAGCATACCAGGGTGATTATGAACATGAAATTATCCAGCCATGGCTTCCTGTTTCACAGAAATATAGATGGGAGGGAAAACAAAGCCCAAATTCCCAAAATCATCCATCACAATGAGAAAAACCAAAGAATATATTTCTGATGTGCAGCAAAAGATAATTGAGCTTCACAAATTAGTGAAGGGGCTTTAAGAAAAGAGCTAGAGCAGTGAAAATGCCCATTTCCACCATCAGGGCAATAATTAAGATTTTCCAATCAACAGAAAATGTTACGAAACTGCCTGGAAGAGGACGCGTGTCTATATCGTCCTAATGCACGGTTAGGAGGAGAGTTTGAGTGGCTAAAGACTCTCCAAGGACCACAGCTGGAAAACTGCAGAAAATAGTGGAGTCTCAGGGTCAGAAAACCTTTAAAAAAACAAATCAAACAGCACCTACACCACATGTTGTTTGGGAGGGTTTCAAGAAAAATTCTCCTGGCTCATCCATAAACAATCCCCAGCATATTCAGTTGTCAGACACGACTGGAACTTCAAATGGGACTGGGTTCTATGGTCAGATGTAACTAAAAAATTTGCTTTTTAGCAACAAACACTCAAGATGGGTTTGGTGCACACAGGGATAAAAAGTACCCCATGTGTGCAATGAAATATACTGCTGTAATGTTAATGTTGTGGTCCTATATTTCTGCTGGAGGTCCTGGGCATCTTGTCTAGATACATGGCATCTTTGATTCTATCAAATACCAACAGATAAAAAAATCATGGCTGTCGCCGGCCAACGAGTTGGTGTTTTTTCAATGTATGCTTCAGATACGAGTCACGACGAGGCGTTCCCCATAGCGACCCCTAGAGGACGCAGTGTCTCGTTCCCTACTCAGGGAACCATGGTTACATAAGTAACCCGAGACGTTTTTTAGCAGCAAACACTCAAGATGGGTTTGGTGCACACGGATATAAAAAAGTACCCCTTTTGAACAATAAAAACTGGGAGAGTGC